TCTTCATAGTTTCATAGTTGGTAGGGTTGGAAGGGGCCTGAGGAGATCATCAAGTCCGACCCCCTGCCCTGGGCAGGAAAGAGCACTGGGGTCAAACGAACCCGGCGAGGTGTTCGTCCAGCCTCCTTTTAAAGACCCCCAGGGTAGGAGCCAGCACCACTTCCCTTGGAAGTTGGTTCCAGATCCTAGCCGCCTGACTGTGAAGTAGTGAATCTACCCTCTGCCAGCTTGTGACCCTTATTTCTTGTCACTCCTGGTAGAACAGGGACTCTCCCAGTGCCTGCTGGTCCCCCCTGACTAGTTTGTAAACGGCCACCAGGTCCCCCCTCAGCCTTCTCTTGTGGAGGCTGAACAGGTTCAGGTCCCGTCGCCTCTCCTCGTAGGACCTGCCCTGCTGCCCCTGATCATGTGAGTGGCCCTCCTCTGAATCCTCTTCATGTTGTCCACGTCCCTCCTGGAGTGCGGCGCCCAGAACTGGATGCAGTACTCCACCTGCGGCCTGACCGGTGTTGCGTAGAGGGGGAGGATCACCTCCTTGGAACTGCTTGAGATGCACCTGTGGATGCACGACAAGGTGCGGTTAGCCTTCCTGACCGCATCCCCACGCTGTCGGCCCATGTTCATTTTGGCATAAATAATGACTCCAAGATCCTTTTCTGCCTCTGCACTGACGAGAAGGGGGTTCCCCAGCCTGTAGGCCTGCTGCTGGTTCTTCCTCCCACCCCCTCGTCCAAGTCGCTGATGAAGATGTTGAACAGTGTGGGTCCGAGGTCTGAGCCCTGGGGGACCCCACTGCCTGCATCCCTCCAGGTCGAATAAGACCCATCCACCACCACTCTCTGGGTACAGCCCTCCAGCCAAATAGTGACCCATTTGACAGTGTAGGTATTGATGCCACAGTCTCCTAGTTTTTTTAATAAGAATGGGTTGAGAGACGGTGTCGAAGGCCTTCCTAAAGTCTAGGAAGACTACGTCCACTGCTACCCCTGCGTCCAAGGATTTTGTGACCTGGTCGTAGAAGGCCACCAGGTTGGTCTGACAGGACCTGCCTCGAATGAACCCATGTTGGTTGCCCATATGCATAATCTCCCCTGCTTGCCCCTTGCGGACATGCGCCAGGATAATTCTCTCAAAAAGCTTACCCCAGAGTGAGGTCAGACTAACAGGCCTATAGTTTCCTGGATCCTCCTTCCTCCCTTTATTGAAAATGGGAACCAATCTTGCTCCCTTAAAAAATAAATAAATAAATAATGAATTAAACTGTCCAGCACCTTGGCAAGGCAGGTTTTACAAACGGCAGATTGAGGAACAGAGAATGCGACTTGCTTGAGGTCCTCTAGGAAGTTTGGGGTAGAGCTAGAAGTGGAACCCTGGAGTTCTGGCTCCCAGCCTGCTGCTTGGCTTATTCAGGGGCTGTTGCTTTCTGATAGCCACGTTTAACTAAACTCCTCAGAATACCCATGACAAGACACCCCTGCTCATGGACTCGTGTCCTTGCAGGTAGTTAAGGGAAATTCCTGATTAATAATTAGCAGCTTTTGGTTCCAGTGAGGTGCATCTTAACCTTCTCTCCAATGGAAAAAGACATTTCTTGCAGCCCTGCCTGTGGGCTCCTGTCCAGTCATAGCCAGTGAAAGGACATCTTGGTGTTGCTCCATTACCTTTCAGCTGTACAGCTTCTTGTCAGTGAAGTCAGCTCAACTTGCTGCTTTGTTAGTGCCCTTTCTGTTGGAAATGTTCAAAGTCTAAATAACAAAACGTTGGTGTTCAGGCATCGCAGGCTCTGTGCATTGAGGTACTAGCTGTCTTGATAGGGCTTTATTTTTTTTCCTTGCAGTAATTTGGGATTCAGTTGCTGCTTTGGGACTTGGGTCCCACTGTGTCTGATGGATGAAAGGACTTCTGGCTTGGACTAGTGACTCTTGTGCTCTTGGGTCTGTCTTTGCCTCTCTTGCTTTAGAGGTGTGGAATAGGGAGGGAGCAGTCCAGTAGCTTTTTTCTTTAAAAATAAAAAATAAAAAAGCAACATTCAGGGGTTGTGGTCCTTTAAGTACAAGCCTGGCAGCATACTGTTTATGGTTTGGTTGAAGTACCTGGACCCAGATGATGATGATGTCCCTCAGGTTTTGGATAGATAGCCCAAGAGCTTTGCATATGTCAGATAGAGAGTTAACCAAAATATCTTTAAATACTCCATGATCTGAAGTGTTTGAGAACAGAGTCATTGCTGGTAGCCAGGACTATCCGACCACTTGATCCAGTGAGACAGGCCCTGAAGCTCCTTTGTAGCAGTCTTCAAAATGTCTCTACCTCTGTTCAAATAAAAGGCGGGTAGTTTGGACCTTTCTGTTTGAGCCAGCTCTTGTGGGAAAACAGCTTTCATCTCTTGCCTACTGCTTCTCCTTCCTCCTTACAGCTTAGCCTGTCTGTGGTGCTTTCCAAACCTAGAGGGAAGCTGATGAAAGAGGGTGGTTCAGCGGGACAAATGTCAATGTGCTCAACACAGGGATTCCTTCCATGAAGTTCCCAGTGAGCTTTCATCTCACTTACATTTGGGGCTGGGGACCTGCTCACACTGAATGAAGGGGTTTGAAGGAAAGCTGCCAAAGTTCCCAGATGGCAGTTTCACAGTACTGTTTCGGTTCAGAGCCAAAATTCTCACCGTAGAAGAGGGAGATGCTAGTGGCAGTGTTGCAAGGGCTGAGCATAAGAGCACTAGCAACTCCAGCCACTAAGGAAAGAACCAAAGCAAGGAAGAACAGTGTATAAAGACAAGCCTTAACTCTGTCATAAGAGAACCCAGGAGCAATTCCCTTTCCCTAGAATCAGCTCCTCTCCCTTAAGTTATGCCATAGAACTAAAACCCTTGCTCTCAGGGGGTTAGTTATGGAGAAGAAAGCATCCTTCTTGGGAGAATGTCTTGAATAAGCATCACCTGGTCAGGATGTCCCAAGGGCTCTTTTACAATGCCAGCTGCAAACTGCTTTTTTTTTTGTCAGCAAACCCTAGCAGAAAGGGGGTAAGGTGTGATGCTTCCCTTGACCAAGCTTTCTCAGTCGTCTTGTGCCAGGGGTTTCACAAATGTGTGAACCCTCTGCAAATGAACTCCCTCTTTTCCTCCACCCATCACAATTGTAGTTCAACACTAGAAATGATTTGAATCTTTTCATACGACCTACAACAATTGTCAGAAGAACAGCCCAGTGATGTGAAAAAGTTATAGGCAAATACTTCCCATTAAGCAGCCAGGGTTGGTTCTCCAAGTTAACGATACCATAAGACATGCAATTAGGTCAGAATGAGAACAGTCGTCCAGATAGCGTCTCAGTGAGACGACTGAAATCTTCCATATTACAGGGGACACCCTGGGTTGAAGGAGCTGAAAGTCTGTTTGAAGCTGACCGCAGTGACTTTCTGAGAAGGGTGCTGACCCGTACTAACACACCCTTTTTTTTCTAGGGCTTAGAGTGCAGAAGATAGAAAAAACTTTAAAATCTCATTGATTCTCATTTTGCTTCCGTTTTGTTCTGCCAGTAATGTCAGGCTTGATATCCCTCAAAATGCAACATTAATTGGGCCCACCACTCCTAAAAGATTGTCAGCCCTTGTTTTAAAGCATAGATTTACGAGTACTGGTACCAAAGTGAAGATTTTTTTCTGCTCCCTAGCTATTCAGTCAGCATCACAGGTAAATTGGGCATACTTTAGATATCATTTTATTATGTACCAAATTTTACAGCAACTTGTATTCAGCTAATAAGTAGGGGTACAGCAATAAAGATTTTCTTGGCTGATACCAATAACCAATTATTCACCAGGAAAGTCGGCCGATTCCAATCTGGTAACTGATTTACAGGAATGCAGCTGGGCAGCATGGAGAGCAGTGCCCTGCAGCCTGCAGGTAAGTCTGTGGAGGCGAAGGGGCATTGGTGGCAGAGGGGTGCAGATCGAGGCTCCTACAGTGAGGGAGTGGGGCTGGGGCCGGGGCAGGGCAGCGAATTGGACCCCGAGGCTGGGGCAGGAGACATGGGTGGCTCATCCAGGGGATCAGCGTCCTGGCGCTTAAAAATGGTGGTGGGGGCACTTGAATTAAAGGTCATTGAATGCCTCGGGGTCCCATTCATCACCCTGCCCTGCTCCTTCCATCACTGTGGGGGCCTCAATCTGCCCATCTCCCCCTATACCCCTTTGCCTCTACAGACTTACTTGCAGGTCGCTGCTTTTCACACTACCCGGCTGCATTCATGTCCAGGGCATGCGTGCAGCTTCACACATGCATGCAGTGTCTGGGGGCCCCAGCTGAAGGCAAGTTATATTTATTGGTACATTATGGGCTATAACGGCTCCAAAAAACCTGATATCCTGTAATGTGAATTTTCTTTTTATCAGTGTGATCTAATACGGTGCTGATATATTGGTGCACTGCTACTAATAAGTATTTTATTGAAGTGTGTGTAACACTGTACACAGAAAGTATGTAGCCAGGACTCTAACGTACCAGCTCATAGTCTCCAAATCTCAGTACTTCCACCACAGAATTTATTGAATTTATTGCTTTTGTTTGCCACTGGCAATAAAAATTGGCAGTAGTTGGTGACAGGGGTGAGTAGTAGTATTAACCCCTGGCTGCTGGCAGGCAATAGGGCCCACCAACTGTTTGGAGCTTGAGACCCCTGTTGTAAAATGTAGATCCTTTTGGGCAAACAAGAACCTACATGATTAGTGGTCTCCGTGAAACACCCTATGAGGAGAGGATGAGAGATCTGGATCTCTTCAGCCTATACAAAAGACGGCTGAGGGGTGACTTTGTGGCCGCCTATACATTTATCAGGGGAGGACAGCAGGGAATTGGGGATGCGCTGCTTTCCAGAGCGCCCCAGGGAGTAACTAGGAATAATGGGTGCAAACTAGTGGAGAGTAGATTTAGGTTAGACATTAGGAAGACATTTTTTACAATAAGGGTGGCCAGAGTCTGGAATGGGCTTCCAAGAGAGGTGGTGCTGTCACCTAACTTGGAGGTCTTCAAGAGGAGGCTTGATAGTCACCTGGCTGGGGTCGTCTGACCTTGGTCCTCTTTCTTGCCAGGGACGGGGGTCAGACACAATCCATTGGGGCCCTTCCGACTCTATAACCTATGAATAGCACTTCTGTCCTCTCGCCTGTAGCCTCAAAGAATCCAATAAAGACCCTGCCCTGCAGAAGAAACAAGGATGCCACCTGTGCTCTGACCACTTTAATGCCATGGAATGTGTGAGGAAACTTAGGTCTAGATGGCTCTAGACTTTACTTAAGATTGTCTTCTTTTCCAAGTGAAATTTTTCTGATTGACAGACCTACATTTAGTGCCATCAACCCCACTCCATAAAGTTATCATGTCAAACTCTAGCAGAAACCAAGAAACTGCATACAACAAACTTTAGATTTGCATCTATCTCACAGCCTTAGTGCCTGCCTCAGCAGTGTCAGTGATACAGTCCAGCAGCCTGCGTGCCAGTCGGAGGTGTTGATTTCTTGATATCAGAATGTGAAGGTCAGTATCCTTCCTCAGGTGCATCCTGTCCACCCCTGCTGACCTGAATACATCTAACCTCTCTAATCGCTAGCCTGTTCTTCCGATACGCTAGGCTGCTTATCTCCTCCCCTGTCCTTGTTGCTAGCTGCACTTGTCATCTGAAAACTGACCTTATTTATGAAGACTGTAAGTGGCATTAGTACTTCTGCTGGTATTAGCCTTCTTGACGTTCTGTTACTGGATGGCTTCCTGTATTCAGTAAGGCAACTAAGCTTTACTTGGTATTCCTCTTGCTTCCAATGTACTTGTAGCACCATTTTGTTTTGTTTTCTTGAATTGCCTTATGTCCCTCACTAGTTCCATCTCAGATTGCATC